GGGCCCGGCGGGCGGCGGAGGGGCTCTCCCCGCGGCTCGCTGCTGCCGCGCCGTGTGAGGGGAGGCTCCGTGAGGGCAGGAGGGCCCAGCCCCGCACCCCGGGCCCAGCCGCCCGCAGGCCCGAGCGGGAGGAGGCGTCCGGGGAGCTCCCGGAGAGCGCGGCCCTCCCAGAGGTAGGAGGTGGTGGGGCTCCTAATTAACGCCGTGTGGTAGCCTGAGCTGCGTTACGGGGCTCTCCTGAGTATTGCGGCAACAAAGGTATATTTTAGGGTTCAGTTAATTAAAAATTACTTACAAATCTGCCTAGGTCCTGTGTTGCGCTTAAATAAACTCTGCTGTTGTGGCTGTGCCACCGAAGAGACACGCCGCATTGAGGCAGTTAGGTAGTTTGAGGAACCTCCTGTGGAGCTCCATCTCTGCTGGTTTCAGTCATTCCCCATCGGATTGTGCCCATGGAGCTGGCTGCGGGGGGGAGGACAGGGGGGTCCCTGCCCTGGGGGTCCCCGGGGAGCAGCACTCGGGGCCCCGCCACAGGCCTGGCTCTTGGGGAGCAGTTGTAGGGCCCCAGCGTGGAGTGGGTTTGAGGTCTGGGTATGGCCATGTGCTGGGGTAAGTGTTGGCAGAATGAGACTCATAGACTGGTGGAGGTTGGAAGGGACCTTGGAGATCCTCTAGTTCCAACCCAAGGTAATGATGATAATACAAATTAGCTTCTGATTTCATTTTATAGTAAGTACCGTATTTTTGGGAGGGGGGCTAATTTCAGTTATACATGGAAGTGTCTAATATATGTTTTCTTTAGCTATATGGCTACATATTTTGTATAAGCTCAGTATCAGCAGGGCACTTAAATACATATTTGTGGTGTGAGAATGTGCCTTACTTGTTTGCAGTAGTGTGGTTCAAGCAAATAACTTGATTTAAAAAGCCTTATTTTTTTTAAAATAAACATATAAATGCACATATTTGTATATTTTGGAGTTAATTAGTTTTTGAGATTGATAATAAGGGAGGAGGCCTCATCCCAAAAGCTAAATTGAAAGGAAATAATACAGGAGTTGGATTCCGTATGACTTGGGACTGAATAAATCTAGCCATCTCGATATCTGTAAGCTCTGGAGTTTCACGCTGCATTGCAAAGCGTGGCAAGCTTTTCTCAACTCTCGGGCTTTTTTTTTTTTTCCCTTCAAGGAATACTGTGCCAACACTGCTGACACTTGGCTTCCCAGAAATAGATGCTTGATTCTAGTGTTTGTATCCTGAAATTATGTTACTGTTTATTTGTGGCCTATACAAATTAGCAGAGTAGTAAGTAAAATTCTGTTTGATGAAGAGAAATATTGTATTTCTAGGATAGAAAACAGCAGTATAGGAAATTGAGTCAGTTCTAAGAAAATGTTGGCATAAACTTCTTAAATAGGACAATGAATGCTTTAATATTTTGCTTTTATCAAAAAATATTTCAAACGGTACTTTATCATGAGTTTTTGTACTTTTCTTCTATAAATATGAAAAAAAAAATTCTCTTTGTTGAAGAACATAGCCAAAAATATCTGTTCCAAGTACAGATATCTGGGAAAGCTTGCCAATCTGCAGTTGATGTTTGGAAGCAAAGCATGATCTTTCTTGAGCAGTTTTAAGGAAGAGGATCACTTAATCGTGCAAGATTACTTTCTATTATTTTGAGAACAGTTACTGATTGTTTAAAAGAAAACCACTAAGAGCGCTTCTATCTCATTTCACAAATGCCTCTTATGAAGATTGATTGTGGTAGTTGATTTGTAGTCTTAGGAACTGGATTTCTTGGCAGTCTGCTTCTACATACAGCTTAAAAAAATTCAGTCTGTCTGAGGAGAGCAGCAGAAGTAGTTGTCTTGATACCTAGCTCCTCGGTCCCTGTATGCTGCATAGAATAATTTTGTGAAAAAAGCTGACGGTATCAGGATAGAATAATATTGTGAAGATGCTGATGTTTTAAGGACAGCTGCTTGCCTCTGCATGGCTTGCAAATGCTGTTCCTCTTACAGATTTGATGACTCTTTTTAACATGGGCAGAAGCGAGCAAACAACAAAAGCCCGGATGCTATTTAACAGTGCAGTTAGCAGAGCAGTGCTTGAAGTGTTCTAGGGCTCCTCATTATCTCCTTACTTGAAAAACATAGTATTGGTTCAAGAGCGTGTCCAGGGCTGCAGTTAACTATGTTTATTGGATAAATTGAGTTGTCACAAGCTGCATATAAGAGTATTTCATCCTTTGCAGAGCAACTGGAGAAGCAGTAATTTTAGAACGAAAGCTCACTGGCAGCTCTGCTCAAAGCTGCAATTAAAACACAGGAAGCTTTTAATATGAATTAATTGGTGGGGGGGAAGAACTATAAGTGACAATTTATTGGTGAGAATTATAGCACGCTTGCTACCTTCTATGCAAATAACAGTTCTTAGGTCTTCTCCTCACATGCTGTTATGAACCAATGTCCATCCTGTAACTTAAAACTCTTCCCTGGAATAGCTCCGTTAAGAAGTCAAGGGAGGAATCACTTAAGCAAGGAAGACCAAAGCCAATCTCACATGGATACCTGGTGATCTAGTGGATATTTTCCTTCTCATATTCAGAACTTGTATGAACCAAGTTCTGGCCTCTCTTCATCTACGGTAAACTTGGTCATGCAATTTAATGGGGGGTTTTGTGGTGCCTGATAGTTATGCTAATGGAGTGCTAACTTTGTGATATTTAATGTTTAGTGTTAATAGCAAAAGATAATAGCTCAGGCTTTATTGCGTTGGAAATTTTTAGTATGTTATTTATAGATCTGAAACCTACAAGATATGATATAAAAGCCTTCAATATGAAAAATGTTACATTTCTGAGCAGACAGTGAGAAAATTGCCTTTTAGAGGTCAAAACTCCCAACGCCTCTGGCAACATGGCCTTGATGTCATTTGACAGGGTGGAAACACAGCCCTTCATGGGAATAAACAGCCAATACCTGCATGATTCATTTTGTTAGGAGGGTTCTCCCATTGTTGCTAGGCAATATTTGCTAGGTGGATTAAAAAAAAAAAAAAACAACAACAAAAACCCCAACAACAAAATCCCCAAAATGCAACTGCTGTTTCCTCAGAATAATACTTCTTCTTGCAGGTTGTCTTGCTACTGATACTGATTTTTATTCTTTTTTAATATTTTTTTTTTTAAATTAAGTGGTAATTTCTCCTTTCTGCAGAATTACTAGGAGAAGCATCAACTGCATCCCGAGAGATGCCTTCCCCTCTGGGAGGCAGGGAGGGGAAGAGGCGGGAAGGGGTTGTCACCTGGTCAGCAGAAGGTTTCCTTTCTGTCTCCCTCCCTCCGTACCTTCTTAGGGCTGTCTGTTTGGAAAGGCTCGGCTGTGTCGTCATGTGCAATTCTTAGAGAAGAAACATGGCAGAGACCAGCAGACATTCATTTGAAATGATTTTCATTCACTGCATTCTGGAATGGACTTGAAAGCAGGTCTCAGAGGCAACTTGTATGTACCAGTTTGTCTTACATATTTATTTATGACAGACTTGAATCTTCAGGATGGTATTCTATCAAGTGACATACCCACTCAGTGTGATGTGCGTCTAAAAATAGGTCATTGTCAAAGGACAGGAAAGGAATAGTAGAAATTTATAAACTAAACCATTGCAGTCTTGTATGGTAGCACGCTCGGAAGTGGAGGTAATGCTGTGTTCAAAATTACAGCTTTCCCTGGATTACTTTTCTAGAATAATATATTAGCATTGCATTTATCAGAACAGGAGAAAGCTGGTTGCAGGCTCTAGAGATAGCTGATGCTGATGGGTTACTCCTGACACAGCAGTTTGAAAATCCTGAAGTAAAACAAACCAGAGGTCATCTCGGAAGGTAGCAGAGTTGGACCAAACTTTGCTCTTAAGCTTAAAATATCACAGATTTCAAATAACTCATTTTTATGTGTTAAATCGTATCATAAAGCATTTATTAAGTGCTGGGATTTAGGCACTTGGGTTTGAAAATAATGTTCCTGCTTTGTGCATTTGGCCACTGTGAATGGAATTTTTTTCTTTTTTTCTCTAGAGTAAGTATTGGCAGGCCTGAAAAATAAAACCACTAAGAAATGACCCTGTTTAAAAACAGAGCATCAGGAAAGGGATTTTTGTCATCTTAAATAACCTGTTGATGCATAAAAATGTGTGGTTTTTGGACTGTAATGGAGCAATGCAATTTTTTCTGGTTATGACACAGTAGTGTAAGCACTACTATGTAAGCAAGGCCTGGACCATAGCTACACAGGTAATGTATGTTTTGGTGTTTAACTGCAGTGTTTTTACTGCAAAGCAAGTAGAAGGACTAATATTTAGTTCAGGATAGACTGTGGAAGTGGTTGGTAGAGGAGTAAATACATCTGTGTATAGGGTTATATTAATAGGGTTTGAAGTTACCAGGTAAAGGGTAGGCAAGAAATAAAGGGGAAGTGTGACATCTGGTGGAAAGATGGTATCAGGAGCAAGAGATCCAGTAACGATAAATGGGCTGATTTGACATGAAAATGCATTATGTGATGTTTGAAAACATGTATGCCACTGCCAGAGATGGAATCAGGATGAGAAGCTTACCTTGTGTCTCGTAGTGTCCAAACCAGATGATTATACTCTTAATAAATAGTGATCTCTTTTTCTGAGATACTAAAGAAGTAGCCTCCCCAAACCCTTGGTCTACACTATAATTAATATGGTACAGGCCTAACTACCTTTGAAGATCAAAATACATTTTTAGAAGAAAATCATCATAACTACCTAGATGACGTATTCTAACACTTTTTTAGAAGCTGGAGCTCTTTACTGAGTCTTCTGTATTACTCCTTCCAGGTCCACGTCCCAAATTACCAGGACAGTCTGCTGCACAGCCCCCTTGCTGGTCTGGGAGCTACTGGTCTGATACTGACGGGGAGATGGAACTGCAGGAGCCCAACGCTGGAGCCCTGGGTTGGTTTCTGTCCCCTTACAGCTGGCTGGATGCTGTGAGCATGCTCTTGTGCGTGTGGGCACACAGTAATATCACACACAGGAGGGAGGAGAATAGGGGTAAGAATTCTGTAGAGGAAGAGAGGGAGAAAGTGGAGATAGATACCTTTTGTTTGGTGTCCTATTGCTCCAGTTGGAACTTGCTGTCGTTCAACCAGGATAACTTGCGTGAAACCAGAGTGGGCTGAGAGCCACAGAGATCCTGCTTTATTATATTTATTTCCAAAGTCTTATAGTATGTTGTGGAAAAACAGTCTGCAATTCATCGGAAAATCTTTGTATTAAGGATGTTCAGGAAGCTCCTAGCTCAGCCGAGAGGCACAGGGGAGAGAAAATAAGAAAATTCATCTTAATCTTTCAGCTCTGCCTTAAAATGTCGGATTCTTCTGAGGTTTCATTCCATATGATATTGATCATCCCATGTCACTCTGAGATTTTTCTGTGTTATGACTTTACTGCTGAAAGATTGCTTTATCCTAACCACGGTACAAGTTCAATCACAGCTCCGCTTTGTAGTTCAGGCTCATCTCCTGTGCATAACTGCCCCCCCTCGCCCTCAGTCATGTGGGATTTTCCACTTCTTCAAAAGGCAATGGGTCTTCAGCTTGTCTTGTTTGTTATGCCTTTTTCTTCTATTTTTAATGTTAGCATATCACTTTCTAGAACAATGTGTTATAAAAGAGTTCTGTATCGCAGTTGGCAAGTGACTTTTCTTGCTTTGGGGGCAGACTCCATCTGCGAGTTTTCGCCTGCTTGCTCAGAAATAATGCTTTTTGGAAACTGACCGGTTCAAGCAGAGAAACTAGTTAGTAAATCCCTGACAGGTCTGGCATTGCAGTCATTTAGCCCCAGCTGGAATGGAGCAGCACTGAACTGGGACAGACCTGTCTGAGGTGGCTGGCGTTTAACATCAGCATGAGGGAGTAACCTGTTCCTCGGGTCACCTCGTGGTTAGTGTCACAAATGGGTGGTGTTTTGAACTGTGATGGTTTAGTACCATGATAAATAAAATACAGTGTTTACTCCAAAGAGGGAACTGTTCTGCTGTGCTGGCAGAACTGAAATGCAGCTTTTGTTAGTCGGAGTTTTCACTGATCTAAATGGGGTTGAGTAGAAGGTGGCTGTGGTAGAGTTTGCTGGTTTGCTCTGGTGCAGTTCAGTTGGGTGTTGAACGCTTCCTTCCCAGTCTCCCTCCTCCTCAGTGGGGCAGTGATTACCCTTTTCTGTCCGTGTTTGCTGGGATGGATCGTGTAGGCACTCTCCTGCTCATGGAACCACAGCAGTTAAAATCGGTTAACTCCCAGTTACTGCACAAAGACTGGGTGCAGGCCAAGCTTCAGTTTCTTCACAAGATGCGTGGTTTTATGTTTTATCGAGTTAGGGGGAAACAAGCCTTATGCTTTCCTTCAGGGAACCCAGTTAGATCAGTCAGTAGCTTTCTGAAGATCATTGTGGAGTGTGTAGATAGAGAAACGGCCCTATTAAAAAAGGCTCAGATACTCTAGTTTAACTGTTTTGAAAATTTAAGTGAGAAACATAATTTTTAGGGACCTGGTTATCTTAAAAGATCTCTAGACCTAACCTTAAAAAGTAATAATCAAACCAGAAGTTTTGATTGACCTGAGAGCAGGACTGACAAGTTTTGGTTCTCAGCTCTGTGTTGGTAAGGAGACCATTTTTCTAACTAAATTACAAGTGGTGATGGTGCTGAGCTTGTGTGAGCACAGGGTGCTTTCTTAACTGCAAATGGGATCTTGGTCTGAAAATATCTTAATTCATTGAATGGACTTCCTTTTGTAGTGTACTCTTACGATTGTAAGCCCCTCATTTTTGCCCAGAGCATCCACTTAGATACCATAAAGTGAAAATAGTCTTAATGTCGCTAAATGAGAAAAAAATGTATTGCCTTGGAGAGAAACAAAATGGGGAGGGGGATTGAGGAGGGGAACTGTACAGAATAATATTTGCTGTGCTTGTGTGGGCACCAGGAGAAAAATATCCTTTGTTTTCTTGAGAATAATTTAAAAAATGTGTTTGTATCAATGTTGCAGCTTTTTGGTAACAGCTTTAAATGTTTGACTATGCAGATATGCTACAGCCTTTGAGGAAGGCACAAATCCAAGCTATCTTGCCTTTGTGCATTACTGGTACCAATGATGGGGTATATGGTAGCTGTTCTGGTAGCCTGTGTTGGGGGGAAGAAGAGGAAGGGTTTCTTGAGAGCCTGTTGAAACAAAAAAAATAATATCTGATGGAAGCCAAAAGTTAGTGCAAGTAGGATGTGAAACTTGCTTATGGAAATATACCACTGGATGCCACTGTTGCTTCATGGAATGTCATACTGAAATAAACATAGGCTCTGCTTGTTTGAAAAATTCTGCTTTTCCTTCACTCTCATCTTCTTAGTTCTTTATTACTTTAATCTTTGTTCATATCAAAGGAAAGGAGAAATCGTGCCCCACTTATTCTCTCCAGCAACATGGTGATACGGTTCCCGTATCTAGGAGTGACAGCTTGTCATAGGAAAGGGAACGACACAAAGTTTTGTCTTTTTTTTTTTTTTTTTTCCCCTTCTAAGGTAAAATCATCTTCTTGTAAAGAAGAAAGGTTGAGATGAAAGACCAGCCAATTTTCCTTGTAACTAAATTCCTTCTCTCTGGCTCGGAGTCCTGCGTTAGTCACAACTAGATTTGGACACTGAGCCTTTATTCCTATTTTAATGTCATCCTAGGGAGCAGGGCAGGAGGTCAGTTTTGCAAATGCCTGTTTATTTCCTTTCCCAAGTGTTGGGCATTTTGTAGTTGAAAGAATGTTCTCTGCTTGTTACAATTCTTTCCTCCTTGGGGGAAGCAGGGAGGGTGAAGGTCATCAGGTGAATTTTTGATGGCTGTTGCTTGTTTTCACAGGCTCCTTTTGTAATCATCTGATTAGCAACTCTGGGACTTTTCTCTAAGTCATACAGTAGGGTTTTTTATATTTTGGCTTTTTTTTCTTTTTTTGACTGAAGCAATCCCCTGAATTTAATTTAATTAAATGAAATCAAAATCCCAAAATGTGAAGCCTAATTTTCAGATGGTTTGTTCTTTGTATTCTGTGTGCAGCTAATTCCTGTGCTTTCCTATGGGAGAAGAAATACAAACGTTGGGGAAAAAACCTGGGAGGAAGTGTCATGGTGGTGTGTGCAGCCTGCCAGCCTGCCTTCCTGGGAGACCCTACCGCCGCCTGCTGCGTGCCTGCTCCTCGGGTAAGCCCAAAATGTTGTTGGTTCCATAATTAACCACAGTAGAAATGTGGAGAAAAGGCAAAGGCGATGGAAACGGTGTGTTGAGAGGGTTGTGGAGGAGCCCTGAGAAGGCAGGTTTGTTCTCTCTCTCTGGCAGAGGAGCAGACAGCAGGGCTGCAGCCCGCGGGCCTCGGCAGCGCCATGGAAACGGCAGAGGAGCACTGCATCCCTCGCATCCCTCCGGCGCTCCAGCCCTGGTGGCTCTCTCTGCTGCTCATCAGGAGGCAGCAGCACCCACGCAACCTGTGTGGGGCTGCGGGAGGGGGAAGGTTAAAATGCAGCCTGTTCTGCTGCTTCGCAGCTGGCTTGTAAAGGAGATTAAGGGGGAGGGGAAGGACCAAGTAATTGTGCGAAGTTTATTGTCAAAGATGGAGCAGCAGCTGCAGCGCAATCCCCTGTGCTGGATGTCTGACAGCCAGAGTGCTGTTTAATTGCTACTGTTCACTGTTAACTCTCCTCTCTCATCTGGAACACGGGCTGAAGTTTTGCATGGGTAAGATGTTGTAACCCAAGTTTTCCAGTGCCCAGGACTGGATGCTCGTATTCCATCGGTGGAGGTACGAAGGGAAGCCTGCCAGCAGAGCCACTGCTGCTGTTGATGCCGCATAAACTTGTAGCCGTGACCCAGATACCATTGTGACTGACACAGTAAGTTACAGTGTCAGGAGAAATAAATGTCTCCTCAGCCCCTCGCAGAGCTCCAGCTGTGCCACGGTACCTGCCCTTAAGCCCCGTCTACCCAAGAAACTGACCCACTGCTGACGGGCTCTGGGACTTGCTGGGCTTTGCTCAGTTATGAACTAGGTATGTATGTGGGGTCAGGAAATACATGGTGCTTGCAATTATTTGGAAATTATGGTAGTTTAGAGTATTTATTAAAGGACCTCTCCAAAATGGTTGCCTGGGCTCTGCCATGTCTGAGGATTCCTGGCAGTCATTTACGTGTGACAGCTCTCTGGAGAGCACTTCTGTGTTCTCTCTCCTCATCTATCAGCCTCTTCTCTGTTTCTGCTTCTGGCCTACACCTGGGAGAGGTCTAGTGCTTAAATTATCCCCCTCTGCAATCACCATGTTTTCATCTCAGCCTCTTCTCTGTTTCTGCTTCTGGCCTACACCTGGGAGAGGTCTAGTGCTTAAATTATCCCTCCTGTAGCTCTGCAATCACCATGTTTTCATCTCGTCCTCGTCCTGAGGTTGAAATCACAATTCTCATTGGTACTATACCATGCAAAGAGAAGGTTCTCCCTGTTCTCACTGGCTTGCAGTAGGACTGGTTTCATTGCTGAAGAGTTCTCAGTGGCTATCCCGTGGCTCGATGTTGTGAGCTTGCTCAGACAATAAAATGTGAGGTACAGTGAGATGAAAGAAGCAGACATCTTGCTGGTATCTGTGGACAACAGCCTAAATAGATTATTGTTACCTTTTGTGGTTTGCAGCTGTCAGACGAAAATAGCTAAATGAAGTGGGATTTTTGCACGTGAAGGCCTGGGCTTTTTTAATAGAGTGTAAACTGGTGACAAGTGTGTAAGATGGTAGGATTCAAGCCTGTGTTCTTGAAAGGTTGTGGTGAGGTTAGCTAACTATCTACCGTAGAGGTTAAAGCCAGAGAAGGATTAAAAAAGCACGGCATACAAATGAAATACTTAAGCTGCTGCCTCTTTTTTCCCAGAGTTTGCTTGCTTCATCCCCTGTTCATGTGCAGAAGAGCACTGCTGAACACTGTCCCCAGGCTTCCTCTTTACTGGCAAGGACATATATGTGAAGATGAGGCATGCTTCCACATGAAGCTCCTTTTGGGTGTTCCGTAAATGTGCAGAATTCAGTCCCTACTGCATCAGGAGCCTCTTGAAGATAAAAATTACTGATTCATAGCTGTGACATCTTTTGTTAACTGGAAGCCTTAATGCATGTAAACAGTAAACCCCACTGCCAGAAATGGCAAAGAAAGGTTCTGTATCTTTCACAAGAAGTAATAGACAAAAAGAGCAAATGTGTTTTGGAGCAGAGGTGGTAAGTGCTTTTCAATGCCACAGGCATTCTCAGGGGTGGGCATATGGCTCTCTATGTGGTTTATAGCCATGAATCATTATGAAGCAGAAACCAGTTGGTTTTACCCCGTGTAAGCCTCTGCTTGCTTTTCTGTTCGAGAGCAGCAACTCATTCTTTTTGCTTTATTTGTAACCGTCACAGTCCAATATTTGTATAAATCTTAAAGGTGACACCTTCACAATGTTGGTCTTCACTCTACAGTCCTTGCCTTTCATCCTGCTGCAGTATGTTAAAAATGTGAGCGTAACTGTTTGCAGCCTCCTCTTCTGTGGGGGTGATCTTTGTAGATGTGTCTGGTCTCAGGGGACGTTGCATCCTCTGGCTGCTGGTATATGGAAAGCGCATTGGTACAAAATCATTTATAACTCAGTTGGTGCTGGATCTCTGTGCTTCTTCGCTGCGAGTCTCTTCAAACTCTCAGAGGAGATGTTTGAAGAGCTCCTAGCTCATAAACAACAGCTTCCCCCGTGATAACCCCCAGCTGCTCATTTTGTTCCTTCAAGCTTATGTCTCGGTGTCACCAACCTAGTCATTAGACCCATTATTATTTAAGCTGATTGTGAATTCTGGTTTGAACTCTCTGATTTTGTAGGGCGTAATTAGAGAAGGCGTTTTCCCCATCAGTTTGTGCTATTCATGGAAATGTTATCACTTACAAAAGATACAAAATACACATTTGTAGGTTTCTCCTCCTTAAAAAGTGATTGAGTAAAAGTCCGTGGGAAAGGTGAAGCTCCCAGCTGACTTCTAGAGACCCTCTTGGCCTTGCTATGAGCTAGATATTTAGGGATGTGCTGCTGGTGTTTTACAACATGTTTATAATTCCCAAGGGGGTGTGTGTTTAAAAAACCATTAGTACTGGAAAGTAAAAGACCTTACAAAGTGAAAGTAAGTTGCATTGCTGTCATTTCATCCAAAGCACTTAATGATCTAAGAGAGGATGCAAAAGGGCCAAGTGTTGCCCTAAATAGCATGAGAACTGCAGCTCTGTGTGGAGAAGTACACATCTTGAATTGGTAAAAAGGAGTTGTATTAATTATATGGCATACCACACTACACATGAACACCATTAAAAAGTCAGCCTTTAAATCTTAAAACACTTCCAGTTCCTACTATCCTCATTATTAACGTCCATAGTCTACATTGATGCTGCTGGCAAGAGGTGAAAGCCATCCAGGGTGAAAAGAAATTAGTTTCATTTTCCAGTAATTATGGGGAAAATTCTGTTCGCTGGCTGTAGCCACCCTCTCGAGTTATTCTAGTGCTGCTGGTAAAAAAGAACCTGATCTATGATGTTTTGCTAATGATCAACAGTTTTAGAAATGACATTTTCCAGCAGCACAGCCTCTATTATTGGGACAATTTTTCCCTCTTGGGCAGCTGCCAGATCTTTCAAAACCACTGGGAAAGCTTATGAATGGCAAGGTTGTCTTTCCCCTCCTCCCCCCTCTTTCTTTTTAAACTTGATATCAGTGTTGCTTGAGATGCAAACTAATGTTTCCAGTTTTCAAAGCGAAAGGCCACCTCCTTCAAGACACTCATTCAAACAATTGATGGCTGAGGGGAAAGGAATAGTCATTTGTATCACAACTGGGTAAAGGAAGAGACGTGGCGAGAATGAAGTGGGAATGAGAGGGCAGCATGCTGAGGTGTGGCTGTCTTACAGTGTGGGCAGTTCTAGATGGATAGATAAAGTATCTTAATTTGTCCAGTGCATTTTCCTGTTCTTATTTCAGATGGGCCATTTATTTCATAAAGTTGAATGACGGAAGAGTAAAAGATTGCAGGAGGAAGATCATGATGTATTTTGAGAGATGCATCCTGGAGGCCTGAGTACGTATCTCCTGTTGAGAAATATAATGGTTTGGTTTGTTCTTTCTCGCTGTTCTAAACTGGATCTATGTGGCACTTGAAAACACCAGTGGTCAAAGCCAGAGCTGGTGGCTGGGTGACTTTCTGCTGGAGTGTACAGTGTTGCTCTTATAGTTAATTGCCAATTTTAATCACATGAAGTTTTGATTCTACAGTTACAAGAAACTTCACCAGACTCCCCATGCACCCATTCATAGTGTCTTGCAAAGGACTAATGACAGTTCAAGTCTGAGCAATAGCTTGGATATTTAATTTGTGTGACCACTTCCTTATGTACAATAAATTCATTGTTCAAGTGGCCTTGCACCACCTGTGGCCACCTGCAAAACTTTGTGACATTTTCACTGACCTTGTGTGAAATGCTGTGTGCTGGGGGACATGGCAGGGGACGGTGACACTGCTGAGTGACAGACTAGCCACAGAGAAATGAGGAGTTCCTACTGGGAACAACTTGGGCTGGCTTTTGCCTTGGTGCCCCTAGATTGGTTTGAGACTTTTGATCTCAGTCAAGCTTCATTGTGACAATTTTTATCTTTGAAGAACTAATTGAGGTGCTTGCCTTTTAATTACATTATCAACTCTGCTTCAGATGATCCTGGCTGTAGTAACTCGATCTTTGAAGCAGCTTAGCAGTCTGTGATCAAGAGTTACTTAAGCTTCTGGTGCTTAGTATTGTACTGCTAAATGAAGGCAGCATCTTCTTTCATTCACTTCTTTCTGAAAGAACAGACTGTATTAAAAAAATAATTTCTTTTCTTGGATAGTAGGTCCATTAAGAACCTGCAGCATCAAGTGTTGTCCTGGTTTGAGGTAAAACAGAACCAAATTTCTGTCGTTTGTTTTTGTCACCAGCCCAGCCCAAATCACAAGTGTCGTAACTTAAATACTTTTGGTTAAGGAATTTAATTAGGTCTTAGTCTTTCTTTTTCCACCAAGATACCAAAACTGGAACATGGGAGTCTGCAGATATTAAAACTGCAGCAAGATGTTTTACATAAATAGTTTATATCTTTCTGTCACCGGATAACCTATGTAATAAAATGTCCTTATTCTTTAAGGCTACAGGCAGGCAGTAGGATGCAAGAAAAATATACTGGGAC